TTCGTATATACGAGAAAGTAAAAATGCATGAATTGATAAAGTGCAATATGGTCGGTAAAACACGTTTATTTTAAAATACTGTCTTTTATTTATTTTATACACGGAACGTAGTGTTTACTAATTATTATTCTATCTTTCGTTTTGCGGACAAGCTAGGGGTTTTATAGTCATTTACCGAGTCAGGCGCGTACGCCGGCGCTCGGTCAGGGCGCGATTTCGCGGCACGAGCCAGACTGTGAGCACTATGCGTTTATGATTGTATTTAAGTTGTGTTTGACTTTTCGCTTGTTTTTTTTTTTGCGTTCGTGTTGGTTGTGTTTAGTTTTGGTCTGTTTCCATTTGGTACATTAAAATAAGAATTACCGTGGCGGAGCACGGGTATGCAGCTAGTATATATATATATATATATATATATATATATATATATATATATATATATATATATATATATATATATATATATACAAAAATTTTGTATTTATTTATTTATGCTCATACTTTACAAGATTACATATTGGTATACCTATGGTATATTCCAAAGCCACATTCGACTTGATTGAATGGAAGATGGGCACAGGGGGAATCACCGAAATACTCAAACATCTGGAAAATATCAAAATCAAATATCAAATTTTTAAACGAATATTTTCTGCTATATGTGTTATTCAGCGTGTAATCTCATTGTTTAGAAAAAATGTATTTTTCATTGATACTCTTAATGATATGAACATTAGCCGATTTTAAAAGGTGTATTTACCATTAGCTGTTGTGTATATATTGCCATTATTTGCACAAATCGAGATTTTTGCAAATCTCAACTTTTTACACCTCCCTGACGGGAAAACATAATTCTGCAATCTTGTCCGTATGTCTGTGTGTATGTCTGTGTGTGTGTCTGTGTGTCTGTAAACATGATAACTTGAGTACGGTTACAGCTAGGTTGATGAAATTTCATATACAAGTATTTTATCAAAATCGTAGATCCGTATCAACTTTTGAGCGATTTCCGATAAACAGCAGTGGTACTTTTTCTACTTTGAATATTTCAAAAGCATATAACTTGAGTACTATTTGAGGTAGATCAATGAAATTTCACAAGTATGTAAGAGGTCTACTTCTCTACCATTTGTTAAATTTTGAGTAATGCCCGTTGACCGCAAGTACTCATTTACGCTATTTCCAATTTCTCAAAAACTAATGTAAATTTATAAAGTACTAATAATATTTCGCCCTGCTATGCACATTTTATTTGGCGTTCACTGGTGTGCAATTCATTTTTCTACGAGATTTTATTCAATTTTTAAAAAGTTTAAGTATTTAAAATAGATTACAACTCATGTCTATATCCCGAGTTCCCATCCCTTGTGTTTTTATAAAAGAATATTCGAGAAAGTTTAGGGAAGATCACTCCCGGTTTATTTTTCTAGTGGAAATGCATCATCGGATGTACCTTTAAAAAAGCTGTAGGGATATAATTGTTTACTCTCTAGTATTAAAAAGTATTTTTTTACCAGCGCCTACCCCCTTAAAACTAAATACATGAAATAATAATTGTAACTTGGTAAGTCTAAAAATGCTATTGAAGCCCTTGTCGTAAAATATGAAAAAAACACACACTAAAATAAAATAAATTACCCCTTAACAGATATAGTTTTCACGCCGTATTAACGTAAAGATTTCAAAGGGAGCTTAGCTTGCCGTGGTCGATACATCGATAAAACCGTTTATTAAATTACACTAGGCCATTGATCAAATTATTTTGTTTTTTTATCGCGCTGATGAAATCAAATTACACACATGCTTGTTAACACTGTTAAAACGCGGAGTTCATTGAGATCAATGTCTGGGCAGTTACGGTGTGGTAGAGGGGTAGAGCGCTCCTGATGTAGAATGGGTTCGTTTCACAGGTATACTATGAAAAACGTAGTCACTGTCGAATGTTGAGATAACATTTTTAGATGAGATTTAAAAAAAAAAAAAATTCCCTTTGCGTGTTATAAAGGTAATGCGCAAAGGAAAACTGCGCATTAAAAAGAGATTGTCCGTACAGGGTTAAACTATACCAAAGGTGAACCAAAAAAAAAAAAACTACAAAAAAAAAACAAATGTACTGTCAAAATAATAGTTTATGTTTTTTTTTTAATAATCATATGATTTGGGGACAATTGGGATAACCAAAACAGAAAATGCAAAACAATACGAGGATGGGGTTGAGTGACGCCCACATTTATCGCACCGGATGACCCTATTTACGCCAGTTTTTCTGTCATTCTTCTTCTTCTTCGCTCTTAATTTTAGTGTTGGAAGGGATCCCCTACAACACAATTAAGTATCACTTGTCATTGACTCCGAATTCATCCTGTTTTTCTTTTTGGATTAGCTTCCATAGCCTTTGTCCAACCAAGAACAAACTACAAGGCAGCTGTTGTGTGATTTTGGAGTTGTCACTCCTAGAAGAGTTGCTATCCCTGGCTCATCTGCCTAGGGTCGAACTTAACTTTTCGGCTTAGCAACCATGAGTTTTACAGACTCGATCACGGTGACCCACGACAAATGCGTGACGTTTGTTGTTAGGTGCGTTCAACCCCAAATGCGACAGAGATGTGTAACCGCTTCTCGTGTATTTATTCGACCACGGCTTGGGAATTAGCCGATCTATATGCTCTTTAGAAGGGGGTGGATTGCTTGAAAGAAAATCTGCATGAAATGTAAATGGTAGCCACCGTGGGAATTTGAAGTCAACGCCGAGTAGGTAAAATGTCTGTACAACACAGTAATCAATAATAAGGCTATGGTTAAAATACACAACGGATTTTACAACAATTTTTTCTTCTTCGTTTTGAATTGACATTTTTAAAGGGACTTCTTGTCAACATATTACAAAAAATATTGCCCGTTGACTTCTCATTAAGCTTGCTTTTCTTTTTGGGTTTACTTCTATAGCCTTTGTCTATCAAAAAAAAAACAATCCTCAAGGCAAGAGTTGTTTGATTTTGGAGTTTTCTCTCTCTGATGTGTTGCTATCCCCAACAGACGGATTTCAACTGTATTGGGGTTTGAACTACTTTAGAATTTACAATCATAAGCTTTTTGCTTCACTTATGCCGTCCTTTAAAATATCATGATTTGCTCAAAATTGCATTCCACAATTGTATTAAGTTAAAGCAATAATGAAAGCAATAATGAAAGTTATTTTTTCTAAATTTTTAATACGTGAAATGAAGAAGCAAAATCTTTTAAAAAACATCAACCGCCACCAAATGTATAAAACAATGAAATAACAAGACAGTATAAGTTATGTCATTTAAAATTTGTAATTAAAAACAAATGTGTTAATCATTCTTAATTTAAATATGGGTTACATAAGTTTAAAAAGAACCAATTTAAAAGTGAAAAAAAAAGTAAACCGTGCTTTATTTACCATCCGATTATGTGTATGCGGTGTTTTTTCTACAAAGTAAATTAATTATATTGCAATTTATTGAAAGTTATATAGTAATAATATACATATGGCTCCGTAGTCCTAATAAACCATTGCATGTTTGGGCATTGTATATCATGGCACAGTGCCTGGGCCCTAAGATGAGAAGAGCCAGTTGTATAGAAAATCTGTTTATACCATTGTTAATAATGTTTGTGTTATAGAATGTGTGCCTGATCCTATTAGAACAGCAGCCAATGAATGATTTAAAATAAACTGGAAACCAAAAAAAAAAAAGTAAAATTATAATCTCACTCATTCCAAAAGTATCTCAGTATAAGATTTACAGTGTAAAAACAGCGTTCTTACAGAAAATGCGAAAATAAGCCAACAATGGGCACAACAAAGAATAGTCTCGAAATTATTCGAAAGGCCCATTAAATACTTTAAAAATCATACGCAATGTTTAAAATAAATATGGTTTTTAAAATCTGACTATTTGATATATATTAATGTTTATAGTATTTTTGGTAACTAATTTAAATTTTAAAAAGTCAAAAACAACATATTTGTTTACATTTTTATCAAAGAAAATGTAAACAAAAATGGTACTCCACGTAGTTTTAAAAACAATAATTGTATTTAAAAAATTTATCAAGCAAAGTTTTGAGAACAAATTACTGTGAATTGGGGCTTTCAGAATATTTATCACGGAGTTCTTGTAGATCCATTCAATGTATAGCCTACATTACGAAAGTGAAATGTAGGGTAGATGAAAATTAAATGTAGACTTATACTCAAAACATTATTCTTTAGTGCTCTGGATCTGCAACTTTTAAAAATATTAAATTTCAGAATTATTTAATAATTTTCAGGCTTATTGTTTTTTTACGGCTGCATTGATGGCAAAAAAAAATTTAAAAAAATAAAATAAAAACTAAAAAGACATGATTTGTATCATTGTCAACAATAATGATTGAAGTATTCTCGTTAACCTGAACACATCCATTCAGTGCTAGTATTGTAAACGATGCTGTTAACTCAAATATAACCAAAAATAATATAGAAAATCACACACAGTTTTAACTTTAAATAACACATTGAATCTAACCTAAACTTTATTTAAACAGTTTATACTACAACCTACTCTTCATAACATGTTTTTTAGAAATCAGACAGCTTTCACACAATTTAATCTTGACTAAACTCAAGCAAGCCTTTTTCACCCATGGATTTAACCAATAGCATGAACTGGTCAGTCATTTCCTCCCATTCCATAGCACTGAAGCTAAGCCCTCTCTCGTACCCCCAGTGTGTGTGATGCGTCCAGCCTTTTACCTTACCCACCACATACACTGGGGCACCACTGCTGCCCGCGCAGGTGGGCGTGTCATAGAAGTATTGTGTGTAGTACGTATTGGGCAGCCAGCCACGCCCTACTTTAAAGCGCTTTAAATGACCGACAGACACTCGCTTGCTTAGACCGTGTGGGTGCGAAATTATAATTATAAGATCCATATTCTTTTATAGCGCATACTTGCTTGAAAGAATACGTGTTAAGACTCATATAAGCCTTAATATTGTTGATTAAATAATTTCTTAGCTCAGCATCGTGAGTACAACAATAAAACTCACACCTGTCGTTCTTAATATCTAAAGTTTTTATAGAACAACCATACAATTTTACCGGTGCATCCCCCATATCATCATAGTTAAGAACACATTCAACATATCAACATCACAAACATTATGAGTAGATGTAACGATAACCACATTGCTGAATTCCGTTTCTTTGTCCTCATCCGCCCTGTACATACACTCCGGACATTGACAGACCTTATTGTCAGCTTCCCTAACCATTTCTACATACTTCACTCTCGCAGTGGCTTTTCTGATCTCTTTAGATTCGCATGCTTCGAAGGATTCCAGAGAATGTGGGCAAGGTTCCGTGACTGGCAGCTTGTCTTCAACAGGAATCAGGAGACTGACGACCAGCCGAGCCAGAGCCTGGGTGGTACTCACGATATCTCCGTCCCTGTATCTTTCTGGCAGATGGTGCACAGAAAAATCTGACACTGGGATAAATACGTTGTGGTCTTTTCTTTTTCCACACACCACTGAATTCTCGTTACCCTGGGCTTCACAAGCTTCTGCCTGATAACCTTTATTTTAAAAATAAAACATACAAAAAAAAACAGTTTAATATGATCATTATTACTAACAGAGTTTCTTCCGTCTGGAAGAAACACTGATTACTAAGCGATGTAAACAAGTTTATTAAAAAAAGAACATTGCAAATTTAATAAAACATCACTTTTAAATGAATAAATAAAATACATTTAGATTGCATGGGAAACAAACACTAAATTTAGAATAGAGCTTCAATTTTATATAGGTAGATACAGTTTTTTTGGGTTTTTAGTATATAAATTATCATTAATTCAGATCAATTCTGAGTTTGGATACATACTTCTATCTCTTCAAATTTATTATTTTGCCGCATATATCCCACAGCTAGACTACAGGACATTACCCCCCCCCGGAAATTACCCCCCCCCCGGACATCCCCCCCCCCGTATTTACTCCCGGAGCAATTACCCCCTGTCAATTACCCCCCTGTCAATTCCCCCCCCCCCCCCGGGGGAATTACCCCCCCCCCCCCCTCTCAAGTTAGAATCCTAACTCTAACTAGAATTCTATACCTATATACTACTTTAATCCAAACCTTAAGAAAAAGACCAAAACCTAAGCATCCACCTTAGCCTAAAACTTCACACAAAACCAAAACCAACGCTAGACACCACCCTATCCCTAACCCTTACACTAGCTCTAACCCTAACCCTAATCCTAACTCTAGCCCTAACCCTAAACCTAACCCTAGCCTCAAACCTAACCCTAGCCCTAACCCTAGCCCTAGCCCTAGCCTAAATCCTAGCCCTAACCCTAACCCTAGCCCTAGCCCCAAAACCTAGCTCTAACCCTAACCCTAGCCCTAACCCTAGCCCTAACCCTAGCCCTAACCCTAGCCCTAACTCTAACCCTAACCCTAACCCTAACTCTAACCCTGTCCGGGGAGGGGGTAATGTCCTACTGGGCGGGGGAAATTGACAGGGGGAGTAATTACTATGGGGGGTAATGTCGGGGGGGGGGAATGTCCTGGGGAGGGGGGTAATTGACAGGGGGAAATGCCCTGTTCCCCACAGCTAGTACGCCATTTTTTTTTTCCATTATTGTATATTTATGTCGACTGCTCTTAATTCTATCTTTCCTTCTTTGAAATAAATGTCTCGTGATGCTCGCTAATGATTCAAATATACTGCCCTAATTACAGCTGATTGTATTTATTCTTTGACTGGTTGCAGGTAGATTTCCCAAACGAAAACAATATTCTAAACCAATAATAACACAAACCAGGGCGAAAAAATACATTTGACAAAAATTTATATGAAGAAAACAAAAGTTCGTGATAAGGACTACCTTTCACATTTTGTATACATTTGTAGAAGATAAAAAAAGTACAATTTATGTGTGTATAATAAACAATATCTAAGTTAAGGTACTTAAGGGAGAACGTTTGCATTCGTCTGGGACTCTTTTAAACATAAATCATGTTCGTCATAGCAACAGCGGCCATCGGAGGTTCCATATGTAAATATAAAGGTATTCATCATACTAAAGGTTTTTTCTTTTTTAGTGTTTTCTATTAGATAACCTAGGCAGCTGACTCTATTCAAGTTATTAAAAGAAGGTCTAATGGATAGGCCTATATGTTCAATATTTACGATAAGTTTTCAATCTTGTTTTTTTAAAGATGGCCGCTTTCGCCATGGTAACCTTAAATAAATTATTGTGTACTAAAATTCGCGGGCAAAAAGTAATTTCGACATAAAGCATACAAAAGTTCAAAAACTGACTTACTTTCACTCATTCAGCTCAATTTGAGATTTAAGAACGAACACGGGGAATACATTACAGACAAAACGACAAATATAGCTTTAGCTTCTAAGGAGTGAGCGATCGAAGACACAAATAAAATATAGAAAACATACGTTATTTTAGAAAACATTCTATTTGAAAGATGACACAATTATTTAGGTGGAACACAACAAAGTAGTTGGTATAGCATGGCTTAGCGTGGAAACATACAATATTAATAAATTAACATAGTAACCATCATGTATTTTAATTGCAATGCCAAATAGATATAGGTACATAGCAGTCTACGACAAGACAGGAACCCAGCCCGCTGTCCACGCAGAAACAAATCACCGCACCTGTCGTACAGCAGGTTAGGCATGTAAACAATTCTGCCAGTTAGTTTAAAAAATGTAAACATATCTGACCAACCAACAATGAAGATAAACTGGCATTCTGCTTAACAAAATAAAAGTAAAAAATAATAATGAATTACAACCAACAAAACACTCCAATACACATGATGAAGTTTACATACCCTTCAATTCTACGTTTTTTTCTGCCATGTTTCCTCAATAAAATAATTACCATCGAAAATAACCTCCACCTGTAAGTATAAAGGTTAAGTTTCGCTTACACAAATTGAAGGCATAATATATATATATATATATATATATATATATATATATATATATATATATATATATATATATATATATATAGTTTATAAATGTATATATCTATGTATCTATATATATATATATATATATATATATATATATATATATATATATATATATATATATATATATATATAAGTGTATATAATTGATATATTATAATATATAGGCCATATATATAATTTATATATATATATATATATATATATATATATATATATATATATATATATATATATAAGTGTATATAATTGATATATTATAATATATAGGCCATATATATAATTTATATATATATATATATATATATATATATATATATAAGGACAGTCGAAATATCACGTCACATTACTTGGAGACGGAGATGAAAGGTTGTATTTATTTTCATATCTCTCTCTATAGATTAAAAAAGGGTGGGGTGGGGTGGTAAGAAATGTTGACTCAACACATCAAAATGTGCATTCAAATAAAGGAAGTTTCTTAGCTTACGATCAGCAGCTATTTCGGAAATAAAAAGATCTAGGCTTGACTTTAGACTGACGTCACTTTAGGAAAGGAGAATGGGGAATCGATGTCTGTTAACGAGCAAACAAGCTAAAATATTCAACGACTAAAACTGCTGCTACCCTAAATTTTGAAAATGTTCACATTGAAAATAATTAGCTCATAAGACGTTTCCGTTGAAAAAACAACAATCCTAAGCTTTACTCTCTAGTATTTCTACAGTACAAATTATACGCCTACGTTAGCGTGATATTCATTCCAGTTAGATTACTCAACACATTCGATATTCTTTTCTAACCTAAAGTTAAGTAGCAAAAAAAGGTTATGCAAAACTATTTAATAATATTATTCTTAAAAATAATCAATTGAACACTTACCAAAATAATGGAGTATTCCTAGTTTATAAAATTCAAAATGGCTGCTCTTATCAGTTTGAAAAGCGCTCCACATTGATAATATGTAATGTCGGAAATCCAGAAATTTTAATTTCATAGAAATGGGAATTCCCGAAACATGCTTCAACGCTTACAGATTCGATATAATCCGAAACTTAACATAAATAGTGGTCTAGTCTAAAATGCATATACATACAAAATCAAAGTAGATCATAATTAAACTTTAGAAGGCCTGGTGGCTCTTGAATGCCATTCAATGGAAAGTGTTCAAATTCGTCTAAATGATTCCAGAAGTAGCTACAGTTTGATTTCACAATCCGCCATTGTTTGCCTTTGTTACTTTCTGTATGTTGTGAGGTTAAGACAAATTGTTAACAGATCAGCAAACGTTGTTCAGTACAGATTGATATCACTCTAAAGTGACATAACCAGCTCAATGTGTACAGATGGCTTTCTATGACACATACACAACCCCTTTCGCTTTGAACTGATAGGCCTTATTTTAGTGGCGTAGCGAGGTCGGGTGTCACCCGGTGCGGCACTTAATGGTGTCACCCCCCCCCCCAGAGGCATAGAGACCCTTCCCAGGGACAAACTTTCAAATTTTCGATTTGCACCCCCCCCCTCAAACTTTCGATTTGCACCCCCCCCCCTCAAGTTTTCGATTTGAACCCCCCTTCTCGAGTTTTTCTCTATATATTTATATATATATATATGCTATTTTTTGCCTTGGTGTCACCCCCCTAAATGGTGTCACCCGGTGCGGTCCGCACCCCCCGCCCCCCCCCCCCCCCCTCGCTACGCCCCTGCCTTATTTATATATTCAACAGTGTTGAAGTATATAACTAATGGGACTAAAGATTCATGGTATAAATCAGTTAACGATCCGTTAATGGAGAAAAACTCTTTAATACACAATTATTACACGAAATCGCTTCATAAAATTAGTCGAAAATGTGTTCTTATACACACACACACACACACACATATATATATATATATATATACATATATATATATATATATATATATATATATATATATATATATATATATATATATATATATATATATATATAGGTATATTATTGATATTATATATTTAAATTATAAAATTTATATATATATATATAGATATATTCATATACACACACATATTATATATATATGTATATATATATATATATATATATATATATATATATATATATGTATATATATATATATATATATATATATATATATATATATATATATATATATATATATATATATATATATATATATATATATATATTTATTTATTTATTTATATTGTTACACATTTTAAATTAAAAAACTTATTGTCTGTCTGTTACAAGCCTGTTACTAAAGATTGCTTCTATTTGTTCTAGCTTGCATTTCCCTGTCCAGCATCTTGAAGTAATCCAGATGATCTCCCCTCCTAATGTTCACCAACCCGTCTGTATGGATAACAAAGTGAAACAATTTCTCCCTGAACAACTTGGCCAGGATTATGGTCAAGGAGGACTGGTCATTTCTCATGCAGTGGCCAAACTTGAGTGGGTCCCACTGTTGTGGGCATTTCTGTAGGGCCCTTTGTTGTTCTGGGCAGGTGCATTCTGGTCTGAGGGCACATGCGACCCACGGGTCAATGAGGGCTTTTTCAATCAACGGCTCCCTGGAACAGACACATAGATAGAAAAACAAAATGTTAGTAATGCTGTTTTAAAATATTTCTGCTTTTAAAATGTTGGCCTATGTTTTTTTCTTTTGAATTTTTTAAAATCAAATTCTTCTACATTTTGCTGTGATTTTGTTTTAGTTAATTCTAAGTCGGTGGAGTATGTCTTGCAGTGGTCTTGGCCTTAGACAACACATTTGGCATGAAACTGTGTCCACTCATGAAGAGAAAATTGTTTTTATGCTAGAAAAAAGTATTTAAAACACTAATACACGTTTTTTGTTTGTTAAATTTATTTGTAAACTTAATTTATTAGATTTCTTACTAAGGCATAATGTAATTTTACTCAACTGTTTTATCACATTACATTTAATCTGTGATATATATATATATATATATATATATATATATATATATATATATATATATATATATATACATACATATATATATATATATATATATATATATATATATATATATATATATATATATATATATATATATATATGTATGTATATATATATATATATATATATATATATATATATATATATATATATATATATATATATATATATATGTATGTGTATATATATATATATATATATATATATATATATATATATATATATATTATGTATATGCTCATACTTTACACAATTTCATTTACATTACCTGTGGTATATTCCAAAGCCACTTTCAACTTGATCGAATGGAAGATGGGCACATGGGGAATCGCCGAAATACTCAAACATCTGTAAAATAGCGAAATCGCATATCAACTCATATACCAATATTGTGTGCCATATGAGCTTTTCAACGCGTAAACACATTATTTAGAATATATATATGTTTGCTGAGTATATACATTACTATTTTTCGTTGTGTTAGTTATGGAACTGCCAATATTTGACGATTCTTATTTTGCCTACATTTTACCCCTTCTTTGCTATCAACAGACTTTGGCACACAATATCTCCCCCTCCCTGCCGAATTTTCATTGAATTTGCACCCTCCTCTCTGTATTAAAATTTTGTATCTTTCGGTTTTAGTATTTCTTACTACGATTTCTTTCCTAAATATTAGTTGAGTTGTATCCCTTAAATTCAGGAATTAAAATATAACTTGAAAAATCTAAGACGTTGTTGAAAGAAAACCTTATTATCTGCCTGTTATCTATTACTTTATTGTGACCCCACCATGAATATTCCATAATAATCAGTTAAGAAGAGCAACCAAAGAACTACCGCATACAGAACAAAGAAAGAAATTATTAAAAGAAAACATTGTTATCTGCCTGTTTATTATTTTTTAATTAACGTTCAGTGTATGAAAACTTATCTATTACTCTATGGTGATCATACCAGGAATATTCTAGAATAATCAGTTTAAGAAAAACAAAAGAACTACCGAATACAAAACAAGTCGAAAAGAGTGGTGGAGTAGGCTATAGGGAAACAAAGCACTAAGTAATTTTTCAAAAGTTTAAATGTGTGTGTATACTGTTGTTATTTATGCCTGTCTTTCATACATGGTTTGCTGCTAGTTTAAATAAACCGGGAGTGATCTCCCCTAAACTTTCTCGAATATTCTTATATAAAAAAGCAGGGGATTGGAACTCGGGATATAGACATGAATTTAAATCCATTTTAATCCACTTTAAATTTTAAAAATAAAAAAAAACCTCATAGAAAAAAGAATTGCACACCAGTGAACGCCAAATAAAATGTGCAAAATAGTGCGTAATATTATTAATACTTTATAAATTTACATTAGTTTTTGAGAATTCGGAAATAGTGTAAATTAGTACTTCCGTTCAACGTAAATTACTCAAAATTAGAAAGAAGGTAGAGAATTTAATCTTTTACTTACACATGAAATTTCATTTATCTATCTGAAATAGTACTCAATTTATAGGCTTTTGAAAAATTCAAAGTAAAAAAGTACCACTTCCGGTTATCTGAAATCGCTCAAAAGATGATTTTGATTGAATACTTATATATGAAATTTCATCAGCTGTAACGGTACTTAAGTTATCTTGTTTACAGACACACAACACAACGGCACACAAACATACACAGACATACGGACAAGATTGCAAAATTATGTTTTTTCCGTATCAGTGAGGTGTAAAACGTCGAGATTTCAAAAATCTCGATTTTTTTTTTGCACGATTACAAGAGTTTCTCTATACTTCGTACATACGAGAAAGTAAAACGGTTTCACTCAATAAATAAAATAAATGCAAAAAATTTGCTTTACCTGCGGGATCGTAAAGTAAGGGTTGCTGATGTTAAACTTTGGACGTCGCTGTACCACTCCCTGGAGTTTGGCTTTAGCAATCATGTCAGATAGTACTTCAGGTACTGTGAATCTAAATTGTCAATTTACTTTATTTAAATATTAGTTTATAATTTATTTTCTACTTTTTAGTGCATTATTACATAAAAGCTTGTTATTAAAACGAATTTTTTATGAATTTTTTATATTATGTCGTTCTTTAGTATACATTAAAAAAAATTAAGAGAAGTAATTGCTTTTAATTTGTTTAGTGCAAATCTTTAAAGGAGCTTATGACTACGAGCACCCCTATTTAACAATTTAAAAAAGGGAAATAATTCATGGAAGTGTTTTTTATCGTTAGCCTGTTTCACGTTACTTACAGCTCATGTCAATATACTTTTTTACGCAACAGCATGTGTTAGCTACTGTATGACATCACTACTGTAGTAGATCTGTTTGTTATTTACAAAATAGAGGGGGGGGGGGTCTGACTTCTTGAGACGATGTGTGACGGAGGGGAAGGGAGGGAGGTAAAAATCGTCAAAAAAGCGTCACTTTATTTATGGATGACCCCACAACAAAAATAAGAAAACGTGCATGCAATCGAAATTATATTTACAAGTCTATTTTACAATGTAAAATCACAATGCATTGTGGGCCCCTAACCAACGCTGTAAAGAAGCAAAAGTTGTTTCAATATCCAGCAACCTCTTTTCAAAAGAATTTTGCCGACAACAGCGTGTGTTTGATTGTAGAAGAAAGAGGACTTGGCTTTCACAATGGTTTAAAAACAAAGGGAAAAAGAATATACAAGAGCGTGGTATCGTGTCTATAGAATAAAGATAATCCAAACGCAGCTACAGTATTCTTTTTACAAAACAACCATCAAGTCAAAAAAGCAAGAAAATTAAAAAAAATTAACTATGCAAAATTAATAAGGTCGGCTTTGGCTCCTAAATGGCGTGGGTTACCCCGCATTGCGGGGTCTGTCGGCACTGTAATTCCGCCCCTTGGACTTAGTGAAGTTCTAGCCCATGCAGTAGGTTACTCAATAGCCTAAGCTTTTAATCACGAAGTTGCAGTTACAAGTACATTCGTTGGTCAGCTACGAGAGAAGGGGACAGAGTTTCTTTCAGGGCATCTATTCATGGGCGGTGATGGGATGGGGGCTACATCTTACAATGTGCACATCCACCCCCCCCCCCTCACCCAGCGCCCCCGAACGAAATTGAAATTGATCAAAACAATTATGTAGAAAGATAATACTTTAACCGGTGTCGTCTTCTTGCCTCAGGAAATTTAACGGTCAAAAAACACCTGAGTTTTATACCCCCTCCCCGTCCCCACTGCTTTGGCTTAGCTGTGGGGTGTAAATAGGTGGAATATAATAATTGTAACAAGAGAGTCACTTTATAAAATGCATTCACTCACCTCACGGAAGCGTCGGCCCATATGACAATATCAGCCCTCGCAAAAACCGCTTTAATAATAACAGGCTTCCAGCCAAAGCATTTAAAAGTGGTAAAATGTGGAGGGAACTCGTCGAAATTCAATTTTATCACTGTACATCTGCAGGGAAAAAGAAAAACAACCAAAACTGTTATGAATGGTATGTAAAACTAACATATACATCAAAAATATCCAGCTAGCTTATATTTTGTTTACTGTTTACCTGTTTAGACACACACAAACACACACACGAACGCGCACACACATACACACACACACACACACACACACATATATATATATATATATATATATATATATATATATATATATATATATATATATATATATATATATATATATATATATATATATATATATATATATATATATATATATATATATATATATATATATATATATATATATATATATATATATATAACTTCCTTAGCTATCCATACCTACAATGTTTTTCGAGAAGCTTCCTTTCCTCTTCTTTCAACCCTATATCGAATATTACCAAGTGGACGTCCTTGAGAAACGGCAGTATCAACTCATGGACCCCCTTAATCATTGCCTGGTGATAATTTTTAAAAGCTTTTCAACACGTTTTGCTGAAGATTTATGAGTCCTTTTATTTTTACTTTCGCATATAAATAGTATGAAGGAAGTATTGTTTAAAAAAGTTTAAGTAATTAAAAATTGATTAAGAATAATGTCTATATCCCCAGTTGCTATCACCCCTAGTGTTATATAAGAATATTCGCGAAAGTTTAGGGGCGATCACTCCCGCTATTTAAGCTGCCAATTCGTTATTTCTGACTAATTCCATGATTTCTCATTAGTAAGGCAGATTCTAACATGGCTACATCCACGGTAACCAGCCTCTAAAAACACGCTGGTTTACGCTTGTCTTTTGCTTACTTCCACGGTGTTGGGGAGGGGGGGGAAGTTTAGTTTTGGCGGGGAGGGGGGGGGTATTGCTTCACCGGGTAGGAAACTGTGAAGGAAATTCTGATCCACATCTGCTTTTAATAAAGTAAGTAAAAGTAAAGTTCCCTTTTGTTAACTTACGGTCCATGGGGCAAATGAAATAGAGTCAACCGGTGAACTGGGCATATAAAGAGATAGTATGGGCAGCACTATGCCCAGCCTAAAGACAATAAAATACTCATCAAAGCTGTGTGGACTCAGACGCCTTTTTGTGACTTCAACCCGCATTCAAACTCGAGACTTTTGTGTTATCAGTCTTGCACTCTACCTCTGGGCCATGCCCTCGTGTTTCGATTGGTGTAGCAATACTTAAAAATAATTAGTCTCCCCTTTAATGTTAGTGGTACATTTACGGAAGTCCAGAACATTATCCCCCATATCAATTACCCCCGGAGTGTTACGTCCCTTACATGTCCCCTGCTTGTGTGTGTGTGTTGTGTGCTGGAACGACAGGTACCCTCCCTTTGGTGTATAGTTGTATCCCTTGGTTGAGTGTGTTTACATGGAGCGAGAGGTGTTCACGTGAGGTGTGTCAGGTGACGGGTGTCAGAGCGTGTGCTAGTGTGTGAAGCAGTTAGTTGTAGTGTGGCTGTAGACGTGGAACGTGGTGTTGAGTATTTGTTATTTATGTTGTAGACCCTATTTGATCTTTTATTATTTTATTACTGTATATATTTATATTAAACATCTTATTATTATTATTATATTTATAGAGTGTTAGGGTTATCTACGTTTGTTTACGTTGTATTTGTCTGTTGTTATATATATACACTCCTAGACTGAAGAACCCAACACGGAGATTTTCCTCCGCCAACCAATATTAACCCCACCTAAGCACCCCCTTCCCATCTGTAAATTAACCCCCCCCCCCTCCGGGACTTCCACCATTTAGGGAATAGTTCTCTCAAGGGAATGACTTCAAGCCTATTTTATTCTAAATTCATTTCTATCGTGTTTGAAATTTTTACCTTTGAAACTACGAATCAAAAGTAATGTGACAAAGTTCAACTAACCTGAAATTCTTGAAAATGATTGGATGAAGTAGCTCCAATTATAATCACATCATAATCCCGATCCAGCTGATCCGTTAAATTTTGAATAGCACGCAGGTAGGTCTCCGGCACCTGCAGGCGTTTGTTCAAGACCAGGTGCTCCACCCTGGTGATGACATCATCAGGTATGGCGGCGTGAAGGCACCGCTCACCTGAGACCGTGGCATTACACTCACCTGGGTAGAGAATCCCAAGCTGCTGACATCTGCTGGTGATGTTGTCAATGTCGGTCACGTGATGGGCCAGCGCGAGCTTGGCTCTAAGGTCGTTGGCCAGTTCTAGAATGTCTACGGGCAATGTCTTGCTTGAATTAGACTTTGTTAATTGAGATTTCGTATTTTTTGTGAACCGTCCCAATTCGACAAAAGATATGTTTTTATTTGAAGAACTCACTTTAGAATAGCCTTTGTCTATGTACACTTCAAAAACACTTTTTATGTAAATTCTCTGGAATATAAATAAATATATATATATATATATATATATATCATTGATTTATATATATATATATATATATATATATATATATATATATAATTATATATGCATATAATTAGCTAAAAACCGATATAACTTTAAGGTTTGTATCACTCTATGCAAATACACAATTATTCCTTTCTTATGTAACAATAACTAGCGTTTAAAATAACGTGTTATCATTTTAAAACATGGATATTTAAAATACATTTATATATTTAGTACTATCACCGTTAATCATTCGAATGAATGCTTGAACAAGGAAATATGTAAACAGAATGCCTACATGCTTAATTCCAACGATGACTAGACTTATTAAAATCACAGTTGCAAACAGCAGGAGGGAGAAAGACTTTTTACACAGGATGCGTAGACCCGCAATGTGTCTAGAGTAAAGCTTTAACGTTTGTATGACCTAAAGAAAGAGCAAATAGCACTCACAATATATGTTTTTGTCATAGTCAAAACAAAATATATATTAATATACACAACATTTTATTACAGTAAATAACAACCGTGTTGATAAATAACTAGAAATGAAAACCAATAAATACATTAAACATCGACATAAATTGAAAATCGCGGTACATAAATTGAACAACGTACACTACACATTTTGAAAAATTAATTCAACTTGCTATTAGTTTGTGAAGCACACATCGTTTACACAACGTTTCGATGGTCCATTTTGGAATGAGGATATAAAAGCCAAAAGGAAATTTTTATTACATCAACAGTAAGACGCGAACTTTTTGATTTTCTGTTACGTTGAGGTAATTGATTTCTGATTGGCGAGAAAAAAGATTAACACTGTTGAATAAAATGTTAGAAAAAAACAACTGAAAAAGCCTTTTTGCGTTATTTAGAAAGTATGGAATAAATATGCTTGTGCAATACAAAACATATTAGAGATAAAAGCTTTAGGATAAATTTAGAATAATTTTATGTGTATTTCCAAAGCGGGTCCTTAAACTTTATAGTAATCCGGGGTCATAGAATGTAAGGAATCTTCTTTAGACATAGCAATTCATTGGGCAGATAAAGTAGAGTTCATGTGTTTCTTGATAGCTTTTAGGGAAAAATCGAGTGTTAGCTTTAGTTAGAACAGTTAGATTAATGTGTGAATAAAGAATATTCTCATTATCTTGAATTAGAATTGTGTTTGATTCAACACACTGTACTAGTCATATATAAGCAGATGCGATCCCAGGATAAAGATTGTATATCGTATTCTCTTGACGTAACATAACTGATATTTAGCTTTCACCAAACCCGGCATCACAAGGCCATTATAGCGTACGAGCCGGCCCGCGGCATAACATACGCCGCTATTTAGTTGTTTCTAATTTTCAATAATTCATAATTTGTGAATTCGACAGTACCAACGCTGACACTGAAAATATTTCTTTAAAACACTATAAGTAGCTCGTTAAGGACCATAACCCCCCCCCCCTTCCTTCCCTCCCCCCTCCTCCCCCCCTACGTTTAAAATCGTTGGCTCTGCTTGTAAACATTTAGAGTGAACACAGCTCACTAAAACCATGTAGGGGTGGGGAGGTAGGGAGAGCGTTTGCAGCTTGTTTTCTAACGGCTCGAAGAAGAGAATTATATATATAGATATCTTTACGAATGATAATACTTAATTGTGCTTGTGGAAATCTATATCCAATGTTACGTTACAAGTAAGAACGAAAAAAAAGAAATGTATTTCTATGCCATAAAAATCATCAACATTTACAATGCAATACATTGTGAAGCAAATCTTACCATTTTCACTTAACCAAAGACAGGATATAAAAATTGTAACTAGATAAGTCTAAAGACGCTATTGAAAACCTTGTCTTCAAATATAAAAATCAACAAGCTAAATAAAATAAATTATCCCTCAACAGATATATTTTTCAACGCCGTGTTAGCGTACAGATTTCAAAGGGATTTTAGCTTGCCGTGGTAGAAAAATCGATAAAACCGTTTACTAAATGACACTCAGCCATCAATCAAATTATTTTGATTTTTAAGCGCGCTGATGAAATCAAATTACACACAGGTGTGTTAACACTGTTAAACGTTGGGTTCATTGAGATCAATGTCTAGGCAGTAACGGTGTGGTAGAGGGGTAGAGCGCTCGTGATGTAGACTGGGTTTGTTTCACAGGTATACTGTCATAAACGTAATCACTGTCGAATGGTGTGAATAAAAAAGTTCAGATGAGATGGGTTTTTTTATATAAATTCCCATTGTGTGTTAAATGGGTAATGCGCAAAGAAAAACTGCGCATAAAAAAAGTGCGCAAGGGCATTTTTGTTTTCTTTAATCGTGCATTAATAGATATTAACAAAGAATGACCTTAGCATATTATAACACTTTTCCATAAAATAATTATAATTAAAATAGTTATAATTAGTTTGTGTATGCGCATTTTTCGGTTTGCGCATATTTTCATTGCGAATTTTTATTTTTGCGCAGTTTTCTGGGAACTGTAATATGATGTGGAGATATTACTCACATGATTGATACTTTTTTAAAATATGTACTTCAAATGTGCATATAAATGAAAACGACGTGTCAGTCTTATGTGCATGATATGTACCTGATGTGTATATAATGTGGGGGAAATTTAAAAACGATGTGTATATAATATGTTCTTGGTGTGTACATGGTAGGTATACAAAATATATGATGTTATGTACATGATGTGTACGTTATTATCCCTAGATATCAGCAATATAAGTTATTAATGTGTTCTTTTTATGTACATACAGGTACATGCATATGTGTACATTATGTATACATACATGTTCATAGAAGTGTGCACATTATGGGTACATACAGGTACGTGGAGATGTGTACATCGGAGGCGTCGAGAGGTGGGGGCGAGGATGTGGCTCGCACTGGGTAACACCATTTAGGGGGTGACACCAAGATAAAAAAAATTGCAAGATATATAGAATACATATGTTTTTACCAGTTCAATGAAAAAAAGTGTTTTAAGTACATAATGACGATCCCGGGTTTACACAAAGACATAAAATGCAAACTATAGAGAAAACAATGTTACACCCAGCTGTATTAACAACCACTGTAGATTAACATTGATAGTATTTTAAAGTAAAGTTCCCTGACGGTCTATAGGGCAAGTGAAGTAGAGTTCACTTGTTTCTGTGACCTCGGCATATGAAAAGATAATGTGGTTAGCACTATGTCCAGACGCCTTTACTTTCCCTAACGTGAGTTAGGTACCCATCAGAGTTGGGTGGACTCAGGGACGGTCTACTGACGTGAACCCAGATTCAAACTCGAGACTTACGGGTTAGCAGTCCAGCTCTCTACTGCTAGACCAATAGTATTAAATGTGAACAATTGAAAGCTATTACCAGGGGAGGGGGTGATACAAACAGCGACATTTACAGAGAAAAAAAATGGGGGGGGGTGACACCATGAGGAGCCGCACCGGGGTGTAACCCGGCCTACTGACACCACTTTTACGATATAGGTACACGCAGGATGTGTATGTCCACAACAAAAAAACTATTTAAATCGCTTTAACTGTAAGTGTATTATAAGCAAACATTTTTTTCATAGCAGATTTTTCATATAAAACAAAGTAATAGAATATTACAAAAATGTGTCTTTTATTTACAAATAATCGAACAATTTATTTATCTTTTTAAAAAAGTTTTATTAATAATGAATTTCACATTAAAACGTAGGCAAATGTCGGCATCCCCCTACTGAACTTCAATCCGAGTAGACCCTCATTGACGGTTTTAAAAGACGGCTACAAATTTGTATAATTTCAATTTGAATACAATCACCATTCAGAAAATAGCGCTTGGTATTAAAGCTGCTTATTTTCATATTCTAATAACTGAAATGTAACAGAGAATTCTTAAGATTAAATCTAGAATAAAGGAAATAGGTAGTACGTTATGCTATTAAGTCCCCGGCAGTGGCTTGCCTAGCTAAAATAGTATATATTAGCTTTGATATAACATGTAGGTTATTTACTTTGAGCTGTGTACACTAAACAAAAATATCAACAATAAAAAACAAAAACTACTGAAATTAGGTAAAAAGTTAGAGATTTACTAACGCACAAACGAAAAAATTAAACAATACTACTGTTTTTAGTTTCTGCGTTTTCCCCATCCAATATTTTGAAATACTCTAAACGATCTCCTCTTTCAATATCAACTGTACCATCGGTCGGCACGGCGAAGTACAAATATTTCTCTCGGAACAACTTGCCCAGGATAATGGTCAAGGAGGACTGGTCATTTCTCATGCAGTGGCCGAATTCTCGGGGGTTAAAGCCGTGAGGGCATTTCTTCACAGTTCTGGGATCCACTGGGCAGGAACATTCTGGATTCAGGGCACATGCGACCCACGGGTTGATGAGGGCTTGTTCGATCAACGGCTCCCTGTAAGAGGGAATAGGACAAGTTTAAAATGTAAGATAAATAACAAGATAAACAACATATCTCAAGTACAATTTTATTCCGTAAGAATTTAGTTTCAAATAGACTTAACGGCGTGGCATAAGCGGCAGAACGCTAGGCTGCTAAAAGTCTGGAGTACGAAAGCGGGTTCGTTTAAGTAGAACTTCCCTGAGTTCACACAGCTCTGATGGATACCTAACTCATGTTAGGGAAGTAAAGGCCGCTTGGTAGAGTGCATACCCAGCCTTCCCATAAAGAAACACATAAACTTTACATCATCTTGCAAATGGGTTGCTAGGTCTAAAGAGCATTCTTTACATTTACGTTATTTATGAAATAATGTTATTTTGAGAAATGTTTAATACATTAAATATATATATATATATATATATATATATATATATATATATATATATATATATATATATATATATATATGTACATATAAAACACCTCCAATGAGTTTTTTGTCAAATGTAAACACCATGACAGCTACATTACCTGTGATAAACACCAAAGCCACTCTCAACTTGATAGAACGGTAGGTGGGCGCACGGGGAATCCCCGAAATACTCAAACATCTGGAAATAATTAAATTCGACACACAACGTATATCTTTATGCCAGTTTCTAGAATAAATCGATCCAATCGATCAATAGAGATTGTCCTTACCGGGTTACACTACATAAAAGGTGACACCATTTAAAACAAGCCTAAACAAAAGTACTGTCGAAACAATATTTTATAGTTTTTTGTTCAAATAATCATATAGTTTGGGGACATGGGGATAACCCAAACCAAAAATGCAAAACAATTCGAGGATAGGGTTGTTGACACCCACATTTACCGCACCGCATAACCCCCCGACCTATTACGCCATTGTTTCTGTCCTATAAATATATACACTAAAACAACAATTATTTAATGACCCCCTTAACTTACCCATTGCAGCATTTCTCATTCATCTATTATATTCTCATTATATCTCATTTTGTATATAACTATGTAATATTATTTCTTTATTCAAAATCTTTCAATGCTATGTTACTGCTATGTGTTTACTACTCCATTGCTTTTTTTTAATAACAATGCTGTTTTTTTTAAACGGCCATTGTGAAAAAAAGGACTCCGTGCCTACTGTTGTTACCGTAATTGAATAAATTGAATACATTGATTGACATACAACCATTGTGTTTACCTGTGGAAGAGTAAAGTAAGGGTTGCTGATGTTAAACCCGGGACGTCTCTGTAACACACCTTGGACTTTGACCCTGGCGATTATGTCTTGCAAAGCCTTGGGGATCGTGAATCTACAAGTGGAGTTTAAACATCAAAGGACGAGAATAGTCTTAAAATTGATATAACATCAATGAACAACCTAGAATAGTCTCAAAACAATTAAACCATCAATAAACTCAACCGAGAATAGTCTTAAAATTAAATAAATTACATTACATAGTTTAAAAATCATGTACGGTGGTGTTAAAATAAATATGTATACAACAATCTGACTATTTGATTTTTGTTAGACTTTACTAAAGATTTGATGTTGTCTACTTAAATGTTGGATGTAATTGATAAATTTAGTGTTTTTGGTAACTAAACAAAATTTAAAAAATAAGCACAATTTGTCACAAAAAAGCATTTAGCACACAATTTGAAAACAAAATGTGTTGAACTGGGTACTTTGGTTTAATAGTGTATTAATTTTATTTAATAATTGTATGGGCAAAGTTTTAAGTACAAATTGCTATGAATTTTTTACGAAGTTGGGTTTTCAGAATATTGATCACACAGTTCCTGAACAAACATTCAAGATTTGTCTCACTAAAGTGAAACTCCATGGTATAAATTAGGCTTAAAGAAAATAAATAGAAACGCAGCTTTAAGAAAAAAAAAAAAAAACAACATCTTTTCAAGTTCACTCGAACTACTAATTTAATAGCATTGATGTTAAACATTAAATATCTGAATTATTTTCAGGCTTAAGTGTTTTTTTTTTAAGAATTACTTAAAATGAGAGCTTAATTTTTTTACAATAAAATGTTCTAAAAATTATGCTTGATTTTATTTTAGTCTCTCATTTTAGTTGTAATCCCACCAGAAAAAAAAAAAAACATTGAAATTTACGATTTATTTCACGGTTTAATTTTTAATTACCCTTTATTTTAAAACATCTGTATTTTCTGCATAAGTCTATGGGGTAGGCCTATATAACATGTCCAGCAATTTCCCCACGGTAATTAATGATTGGCATTTATCAACACTTAGTCTACGATATGTGGGTTAAATTTTGTCTACACGTTGGAATGAATATACGGTAACTTTAAACTAACTTCAAAGAAATAGAATTCAAGTGCCTCAAGGAAAAATGAAAGCAGGCAAGGCCAAGGGAGACGTGGAGGCGCAGGGCGGGGAAGCAGCTGGCAGAATCAAGACTGTCATGGGGGACTGTCAGGAAAATTGCCGGTGACCGACAAAAGTGGAGGGAGCTGTTTGTGGCGGTCCTATGTCTTGGGCACAAAAAGTAACGATGATGAGTATTCTAGTAAAATAGTGATACAATTCGTGTAAGATGTTTAGAAAAGTAATACAATTGTGTATGATCTAAATGTATACCACTCACCTAACTGACGCGTCCATCCATACGACAACATTGGCCCTAGCATACACCGCCTTGACCACAACAGGTTTCCAACTGTAACACTTCAGATATTCTTCAAAGTGTTTTGGGAATTGGTCAAATGGAAAGATTATTACCGTACATCTGGAGATGTTAAAGCGTAGTAAACAATATATAGTTGAAGCAAAGAGATGTAAGGCTATTGTTATATACAACACACAGACACTCTCCTTCACTCTCTTACTCGCTGACACATACACACACGCACACACACACACATACATACATATATATATATATATATATATATATATATATATATATATATATTATATATATATATATATATATATATATATATTTATATATATATATATATATATATAAGTAAAAAATCATTTTAGACCAAGCGATTTATTGGGTAGAAAAATATAGTCCATGTGTTTCTTTACCTCGGCAAATGAAGGTAAGAGGCGGTCAGCGTGAGTTAGGTACCCATCAGAGCTGGGTGGACTTAAGGACGTTATACTGCCTTGACCCGGATCAGATCTCAGCACTTCCTAGTTACCAGCTTAGCTTATATAATGTGAATGTTTGTGTGAGTGTGTGGGTATGTCCATACCTGCAATGTTTTTCCATTTCTTCCCTCTCTTCAACTTTTAACCCGATGTCGAACAGAACCAGTCGGAAGTCTTTGAGAATGGGAAACACGAATTCGTGTAGATCACTTAGCATAGCCTGTTAAAGAGATAACTAATCAGTACCGTAAAGTTAACAAATGGTTTAAACACATACTATGGGACGGCTTGGCCTAGCTGTTGAGAGCTAGACTGCTAACGCTAAAGTTTCGACATTGAAAACGGGTTTAAGTTATTAGCACGTCCTTGAGTCCACCCAGCTCTGATGAGTACCTAACCCACGTAAGAAAAGCAAGGCGGATAGGCATAGTGTTGACAACACTATCTCTTCATAAGCCGTGGTCTCTAACACAGATGAACTCAACTTCATCTGCCCCATGTGTTTCGGGCACGAACGGGAAATGATGGTGTGAAAATAAACAGTCCTATAAAGCTCTAAAACAATTATCTTCATTGTATATGAAAACTCAGAATATGTAACTTGTAGCCTACTTATCATGATAAGTACAGGGTGTACATGATATCTACACTAGCTATTGATTAGGTACCCACTTTAAAGAAGACCCACAAAAGAAATTATCACATATACATATACAGTACCGTACATATAAAACAAGAAAAACATTGTTAAAATGACTAAAATAAAAACGTACACGGCCGTGCTTACCTGTGTTTCATTAAAATGATTTGACGACAGAGCGCTCACGATAATCACTTCATAATCCCGATCCAGCTGATCCGTTAAATGTTGAATGGCACGCAGGTAGGTCTCTGGCACCTGCAGGCGTTTGTTCAAGACCAGGTGCTCCAACCTAGTGACGACATCATCAGGTATGGCGGCGTGAAGGCACCGCTCACCTGAGACCGTGGCATTACACTCACCTGGGTAGACAATCCCCAGCTGCTGACATCTGCTGGTGATGTTGTCAATGTCTGTCACGTGATCGGCCAGCGCGAGCTTGGCTCTAAGGTCATTGGCCAGGTGCGAGATATTGTTAAAGTCTGAAGTTGAGTTAGAGTAAGGCACTAGTAGTTTAGAGTCAACCTTTTCTATGTGCCGTACTAAATTTGTTGATGAGCTGTTTACGTGAGGTATAAATTGCCTAGTATTTAGTTTGTGGCGCTCGAAGATGGTTTTTATGAATACGTCCTGTAATATATGTATATATATATATATATATATATATATATATATATATAATAAATATATGTATATATGTATATATATATATATATATATATTTATTTTATATATATATATATATATATATATATATATATATATATATATATATATATATATATATATATATATATATTATATTATATTATATTATATATATATATATTATATATATATATATATATATATATATATATATATATATATATATATATATATATATATATATAAATAAATAAATAAATATATATATATATATATATATATATATATATATATATATATATATATATATATATATATATAAATATATATATATATATATATAATAAATATATGTATATATGTATATATATATTTATTTTATATATATATATATATATATATATATATATAATATATATAGATTATATATATATATATATATATATATATATATATATATATATATATATATATATATATATATATATATATATATACAATCCATTGACATAATTTCTAACTGATAAATTTTAACATACGTAATTATAAATACATATTTATCTTGCTATTTTATATATTTACACAAATGTAAGTATTTTGAGCAGCATTTACTATTAAAATTTTATATGTGCAATTTAATTTATATTTATTATCCAAAATAGACACGATCCTTTTATCATATCGCGTTAAAATCAAATCGAATAAATATATTGGGAACAAAATATGTTTGCTGCATTAGCTATAAAAGTGATCTAATAAAGGTGCTAACTAAATCGATACAATGGCGATAAAATTAATAAAAAATATAATATCATTAAGATTTTATAATATCCTTATCAAAACTAAAGTAGTACTAAAATTATAATAATTAGAACTTACATGCGATAACTCGATAACGACAAGACCAACTAACACTATCGTTACAAAAACTGTGGACGCGACTGATTTCTTAAACAGGACGCGTACACCTGCAATATGTCTACTGCATAACTTCAGCGACTGTATTACCTAGATCGAGAATTTCTATACTGTCAACAAATTTCGCAGAGATTATATATATATATATATATATATATATATATATATATATATATATATATATATATATATATATATATATATATATATATATATATATATATATGTATATATATATATATATATATATATATATATATATATATATATATATATATATATATATATATATATATATATATATATATATATATATATATATATATATATAGGTTTATAATATAAAATATATATAAAACATTTTAAAATAAAATTATAATGTAAAATTATACCGGATGAAAAACTGTATTGAACACCGCCGAGAGAAAAGAACCATAGCTCTTGCATCTTACTCTACGCATCGTTTGGTTTTTTAGTGTCCACTATATTCCCATACGGTCAACAGACTAAAAAATAAGATTTGAAGATGTCCACTACCTTGCCGGATAAACATCGATTTTTTCATCACGTTAGAAAGGCGGCAACTATGTGTTGAAATATTGACATATCAATACGAGAAAAATCATGTTGGTAAAAGGTAAAACTTACTGAACTTACTGAACAGATAATAACAATTTCGGTGTCACCCGGTGTAGCCCTCATGTTGTTACCCCCCCCCCCCCCCACTTTTCTTTGTTAATTTGGCAGTAGGTGTCACCCCCCCCCCCCCCCCACCCCTACTCCGGTAAATGCTTTAAAGTATTCACATTTAATACACATGATGTTTATCTATAGTCCCCCCTCCCGACCCCCCCGGAAATTCTAGTACGACTCCACCCGAAAATTTCAAGTGCCCCCCCCCCCCCCTGGGAGAAAAAAGTCTGGAAGAAACACTGCTTAGTTATGCAAGCGTAGAAATATAATTTTAAAAAATTAAAAAGTAAAAAATGTACTGAAAATTAGCTTCTTTAAAATATTGTGTAGCTAAAATTCAGCTTCAAACGATTTATGTAGATTAATACTATAAAAATCCTGCTAGTATTAATAGCACGGGTTTGTTTAATGCACACAATAGACACAATACTGCCTTAATATTACATTAAACTATATCTACTTTTTTTTTTAGTCAAGCTAGTACCTTGCTAAAAGTAAACCAATAGAAACGTTTACTAAATGACACAAACTTATCGATCTCAAACGATATACCACCCCATACTATCGGGACGTTAGACTTTAATGACTAGAGTAGCGATACTAAAATGTAAATCAATGAACAGTGTGGAAAATTTGCTCGCAAACTGCGTCACATAAGAACGGAGTCAGCGATTTTTTTGTTTCATTATACAACAATTATCTTTGGTTTTGTTCTGGGTGTGGGAGCAGTGCCAGAAATAGAACACAACCGCCCTCCCTCCCCCACATACAGAACACAAATTTTGAGCCCATACTTACTTACATATAAATATATATATATATATATATATATATATATATATATATATATATATATATATATAAATGCGTTTTTTAATGTACATTCATGTGTTTAAAACGCTTTAGCAAACTCGCATAAGCTTTACTATTTCAGTTAAATTAATTTTTTGTCACTTGCCTCAACCCCCCCCCCCCCCCCCCCCCTTCCTCCCTCCCCTACCCCAACAAAAACCGTTTTGAATATCCTTTTAATGGTACCTTTTCTATATCGATGTATTAACGTAAATACCCAACAATTGTTTCCCTTGAAAATACTGAATTTTTCTTTTTGGTGTCACCACCAAATTGTGTCGCACGGTGTTGGCCGCACCCGCGCCGCTTAACGCAGCCATTGATTGTGTGCCAGGCCGTGTCGTGTCCTGGTGTGTTGACGTGTGTTATACGGAGTGAACGAGGGTAACAAGGGAAGCGACTGGTCGAGTGACAACTGCTGTGTTGACGTGTATGATGTTGTACGGAGTGAACGAGGGTAACAAGGGAAGCGAATGGTCGAGTGACAACTGTTGTGTTGACGTGTATGTTGTTGTATAGAGTGAACGAGGGTAACAAGGGAAGCGACTGGTCGAGTGACAGATGTTGTGTTATGAGCGGGAGTAAGGAGGTGTATCGCGTAGCATTGAGGCGTTGTGGTTAGAACTATGCAGAGCTTCTTCCGGGCATTTCTTCGAAGTGGCGGAGCCACTCCTCCCCCCGAACTAATTCTACCGCCCCCATCCGAACGAAATGGAATTTATATAGAAAATATATAGTTTTACTAATGTCCACCCCCCACCCCCCACCTCTCCATCCCGAAAATAACAAGGGTCCCTTAGCCTTGGAGAAAAATGTCTGAAAGAAACACCACAACAAAGAAATAGATGATAAATAACTGACTGAATGCACCATAACCTGAACAAACTTTTGTTGGTTTGGTTCTACTTACGTGAGTTACGAAGAACGCCTTCACACAATCCTCCTTCTATAAAATATTTCATTCTCTACATTTTGAAATAAATATAAAGACAGATTCATTATGTATGCGATTACGATTTGAATAT